CGCAAGAAGGGTGAGCGAGCGGACATTTTGGTGCCGAGGTTGCCGCTGCCGCCTCTCGACCGAAAAAAAAAAAAAAGTGCGGCATGCACTTTTTTCGGTTCTTCCTCCTTCACCAATGATCGCCAAAGGCGGGAGTAGGGAAAGGCCGCGCTGCCACGCACAGCAAAGAATAGCAGAAAACACAAAAAATTACGAAAAAAAAAAAAACTTAGATGGAAAGGTCATTTTAGGGAAACACGCGCTCGGGGCTCCAAGACACGCACACGGATAAGAGGCGGAGCGCCGTTGTTCCCTTGCATCGGCGATCTGAAGCCCGACTGATTGTGATTCTATTCGCCGCTTTCGTCGTTTTTGCGCGTCTTTGGTGGCAGCGGCGGTAGGCAACGCCCGCCCTCGGCGGGAGGGAGGGCGGCGGCGGCAGTGAGCGCAGCACGAGCCCATCGGGACGTGACGGGAACTTGGATAGGGAGCTCGCCCTCCGGTACATAACGCGCCGCGCAGACGGCAAATAACGCACACGCTCCAAAGAGGAAGGGCTCTCCCCCCGCGCCCGGCCTCGCGCTCTCAGCGTCGTCGTCGTCGTCGCTGATGTGCAAAAAAAAAAAGGCGAGCTCCCGTCGCCGTATAGACGAGGCCGCTGCTCGGGGAATACGAAACGACGCGGGAATCTCTCGGATGCGTAGCTCGGCGTACGCCGCGAGCTTTCTGTTTTCTGCTTTCGCTGTAACGTGTCAAGCTTCGTATCAACTGGACCGGGAATAGACGGGCCTGTGGGCGGTAGCGACGCCAGAAGACGTCGTTTCTGGGGGCTGATTTGATTCAACGTGAAATGGATGTCTTTGAGCGGAGACGGGAGACTGGGGTAAACATGTCCTCGATAACGGAGTTCCCAGTCCGGAAAACTGGCGGCCTTTCGTGTTGTATATTTGCATATATTTCTTATTACGATCTGCAGAATAGACCCTGGGGGACTTAACGCGTCTAGGTGGTAATGTAGGCAGATATATGTTAGCGTTCAAGAGTTTCTGCGAGTACTTTAAAACATACGCAATGAATGAAATGGGATTTAATCACAAGGTCGCGTAGTGCACGAAACTTCGTGCATGCATCTCAAATTTGTATTTTACATTAAAAAAAAAAAGTGTTCTCGGTGACAGATTTTTAACATAAGAACATGGAAGATCCGATAAACTCTATAGACGTTTCCCGTGTAGTAGTCGCCGTCTTGAATCGCAGAACTTCCAAGGTATGGGGTAAAACATAATTTTGCCCTTGGAACGCAACTATGAGGTGTTCACGTTTTCCTCACGGTTGTTAATCCTGCTTGTTTTGCCTTCTTTATATTTTTTGTTTGTTGCAAGTTGTAATGTCTTGAATTCTTTTTTTTTACGTTTTGTTTGTTTCCCATACCGCGTGTGCGAACTACGTAGCTGGAGACGAGAGTAAACTGAAAATGCCTATACCTAATATTCTTTTATCATCTAGATCTCGTAAACATCTTGTCGTGTTTATACATTTTGCAATAGCGGTCTAGCCAACTACAATTTTTTTTTTCAATATGTCTGCTGAACCATTTAACACGTTTTGTTCTCCCGCTCGTACGTTTTAGTTCATTGCGTAATACAAGATAGAAGTTCTATCTTACCTTTTCGCCCCTAAATAAGCGTATAATTGCTGAGGGGTGAATTAAGTACGAATTCAATGGAGCATATATCGAGCGAGCAAGCGACAAATTTCGCCCGGCAACGTTCGCTCTGGCGCGGCGCCAGGACACAGGCTGTGTGTGGATGGCGCGCACAAAGTATGCCACCGGGCGAGTTTTGTTAATCTTTCGCCGCACATTGGCTCCAGGAAGTCCAGCCATCAGCTTTTTTTTTTTTTTACTTCTGCCCCATGCTGTTGGCCGTTCGAAAGTCAAAATGACTTTAATGTCTCGAGCGATTTTGACACAACACTGCATTTGGATTTCGTTGCGGATAACTTGCGAAGAATTCCCCACTAAAATGACCTGCAGTCTCCTACTGAAGCCTGTTTCAGGGTTTAGTGGGGGACTGAACCCTGATACAAGCCTGTATGTCTGTTTTTCTCTCTTGTGTTCGTTGTTATTTGCGCCTTACTCCATGATTTCTACTGAACAGCCATTCGGATTACGTGGTACCTAACCTCGCGCTGCATTAGCCACAGATCCTGGCTTCAACCCCTTCCGCTGCAGGTTCCGATGAGAACGAGCATTGTGCAGGCGTGTGGTCACTCATCAGCACAGTACCCGCCATGCGCTGAGCTTCCTCTGTACATTGCAGCGATTGACCCCCCGAGTGCTTTGCGGAAAAGTCGACGCTCCAGACTTCTTAAGAGTATTCACGACTCCAGCAAAACGGACGGCACCTAGCTGGAAAACGTTGAATTGAACGGAGCAGGTCCTTTCGCGTTTTCGGCTCGTCGTTTGTGGCTTCCGTGATTACATGTTGCCGGCGGTGGGCGCGATGGACCACTTGTCCCGGTGACTCTGTTGTCGCTGTCGTATCAGCGTGCTGCCCAGGTAGCCCTGAACGCAAGCTACGCTGTGCGTGAACCACACATTGTGCGTTTATCAACATTTGTCAACGTTCATGAGCGCCGCGGTCCTTGCATCGCTTCCACGGGGAAAGTCAAGCCTCTGGAAGCTCGCTTACGAAAACACATCGTCGCAGCTTTAAAACGCAGTGTATCCAAATTGAGGCAAACCATTTTTAGTTCAATGCTTTTAATTGCGTTGTGTGTATGTTTGTGCAGCCCGACGTTTGTCAGCCCCAACGGTTGACTTATCTCTCGACTGTAGGCGAGAAATTTTGCCAGTGCAGTACAAGCGCTAGCCTGAAGTTTTTAACGCGGCAGTGATACACGACCGCACGCCGGTACGATGCTCGTGGGGATTGAACCCAGGGTCCCTGACTTCTGCAGGGCGAGCTTTCGCTCCATGTGTTCCGGGCTGGTGTGTGCTAGCCCACTCGGCCACCGATCCCCCTTCCAATACTTGGCTGCTGAAACCCGAGCGTTGTGGGTTGAGCTGGCACAAGGCACGACACGACCTGTTTTAGACCGCCATATTTGTCCAATAGTGGTCGCTGAAGTTGGGAATAACCCGATCTACCTTTCAGGCTTGTTCCCAAGACGTTCACACTCTTGGCGTCAAGATATATTGCTGGAAACTATCCTGCATAATTGGAACAGTACGAGAGTCTGGTTGGCCTCCGACCTTTGAAACGCATAGACACCAGCATGTTCCCTCCGAGAGTGTCGGTCTAATCTTGAAAAGGTGCAGCGTAAGCTACAGCCGCAACAAACCTAAACTCTTAAAAGTATGGGTGTGGTATTACACCCATTGTTACCATATAAGACACCCCAAAACTTCAGTTCGACGTACAGCGCACTGACGTCAAAATGATAGCCCCAACTTTTATGAAGGGCTTGATAACAGTATGATTTAACCTATTAAACAGCTAAAGTAGGTATAAAACAATACGAAAAAAACATTAAAAAACCTAAGGTTTCGTAGTAGGGCCAAGAAAACCCAGATTAATCTTTTTTTTAGTCAGTAACACGCACTGAGCGCGACACTGTTAGCGCGAACAAGCGACCGCCGGTTATCCAGTTTTTCTCTTTGAAACCAAGAGATTTCATCCAAGTTATTATTACTACGGAAAGAGCTCATTTAGTTCTATAATGTAAGCGAGAAAATTTCGTGCTCGCTATTACTATTTAGAAGTAAAACGTGAAAATGCGCCGATGTCGTGTTCGGGCTAACAGTGTCGCGATGTGTACATTAGCTATTTTAATGAGCTGTACCACTCGGCTCTCAAGCCGCTCATGAAAGTTGGTACCGTCGGCTCGACGTCCGTGCGCTCTACGTCGAACCTAAATTTTAGGGTCTATTATATGTGACAAGGGGTGTAAGAATATACCCTTTTTTTTTTAAGAATGTGCCCGACCCGACCAGCTTAAAGGGGCGCTGACGTGGTATTTATGCACGCCGAGGTTTTTATTTGAACATGACCTATAGGAGCCCAACTACCGATAATACAATTTGCGGATCAAAATTCGTTTTCTTTGCGCCCGAAAAGGGCCGGTCAAGAATTAGGAAGTTTTAGTCGCGCTCACACTCTTCTTCGTGGTCACGTGGCGTTCAAACTATTGTGTACCAAATATATTCAAAGTCGCGGGTCATCTAAGACACACGTTCAATATAAAAAATGGAAAAGAGTACGAACCTATTTTTGTGGCTTCTAAAAAATGCAAGTATACGTTGATCAATAATGCAAAATGTTGCACAGATGACAGGAACTACATGCACACGTCATTCTCAATATGGCAACATACCGCACGCATACTGCGGCTGGAAGACGCGATGGCGGCGCACGACGGATCGACGTTGTGACGAACGTGCGGCCGCTACTTTGTACTGTCGTTTGCGGTACCGGCTTAATCGATCTTCAAGCGCAGAACATCGAGCAAAAGTGATATAAGTGCGAAACAATCGCACGACATACGGTGCACGCAACTTCGTCGCCTGCTTCACGCACGGGAAAAGCGGAGGAAAGAAAGCGCAGTCGGGTGTAGTGACGTAATTTCCGGCCATGAGCTTCCGTGCTCGTGTCTCGGTTTTGGTTTCAAGCAGATGAGTGTTTTTGTTTATTTTTACCCACTGAAAACATACGTAGCTTCGTACCAAAACAAAATAGTTTGGGTAGTCTTTAGACACCGTATTAAATCGGCCTGGCAAAATATTATGGGGGGTGTCAGTGTCTTTCCAAGGAGTGCTGAGCGTGGCTCATTGTGTTCCCGCTTCTTGCTTCGCGGTATACGTTCTTCGCCGTTCTTATCGGGTAGTGGCGGCAATCTCAGTGACTGCGAGAAGCGCAGGAACTTGCCACGCCCAGCGTGTCTTAACTTGTCGGTGACTCTAGTGACCCCTTTCTGGGCAGCCCCCGCTCACTGTTCTCTTTCCCCCTTGGTTCCTGCAGCGATGCCGCAGCTGTTCGCCGCCGCGGGCGGCAAGGTGTCCCTGCCGTGCAACACAACGATCCCTATGGGCGGCGACGGCGTGTCGCTGATCCTGTGGTATCACGGTGACTACGGCATTCCCATCTACAGCCTGGACGCCCGCGACCAGCCCATGAGCAAGGCGCGCCACTTCCCGGGCCAAGACCTGGGCACGCGCGCCTACTTCGACGTCTCGGCAAAGCCCCCCGTGCTCAGGATCGACCCCGTACTCGAGAGCGACGCCGGCGAGTACCGCTGCCGGGTCGACTACAGCAGGCAGCGAACGCAGCACAGGAACGTCAACCTCACCGTCATCGGTGAGCATTGGACTCGCGAAAGGCCATTCCGACTGATAACTATAATAAACAAAATGGCTATGTTGCCCGTAAAAAAAATCATAATGCCCTCAAAATATATCGTTTCTTTTCTTTTTTTGTATTGTTAAAACAATTAATTTTAAAACTCAACAATGGAAGAGCACTGTTCGTTGTGTGTTTCCTCAAATTATATTTGGTGATCTAGTGTTATGCACAGAGTTAGTACTCTTAGTCCAAAAAACAATGACGGTTTTTTTTGTTGTTTTTTGCTTTTTTATAATAAACGGAACTTATTGTTTGGCAACAGAAATGATAAAACAAACTCGGGACGAGGGATAACGCGTGTCTAAAGTTTGCGCTGTAAACGTCTTGCTGGATAGCGTTCAGTACGTTGAAGCGTTCAACTGGTTTCAAATGTACTTGACTTCAAATGAACCGGTTTTATTCTTTCTGTCGCCAGTCAATGTTACCAACACGCTCTTCAGTTAATGTGAACTAATTTTTGTTGTCTTTTTTTTTTATGAAACTTCTGAGGGATGATTGACTAACGAAGTTTATGCCTTTAGTTTTCTCGACCAAAAGTTTTAACGAGCGCGAGGAACGAAGGTGCCTATCGCTCGCGTCCTCAAATCTCAAAGACAAACAAAGAAAACAAAAAAAAGTCGCCTGTTTCTTGAAATTAACAAGCTGGGGCGAATGACACGTCCACGCGGCGGCAGTGATCTACCGCCTTAATCAGTTTTCCCCTCTCTGGAGTCGACTGCCGAGGACAAAATTCCTTCGCTCAGATTGAAGTAGGCCACACGCGGAAGCTTTTTCGAAAGACCCGTTAAAGCTATTTGGTTTTATGTCTCTCACTCACAAACGCCAGGTTTTGGTAAACTTTTAGGAGTGAGCGTCAAGGCATATGGGTGGGAAGTTCACTAATGGCATCTCTTCTTCGGAACTCCAGACTATAAAAATGCTTTATTAAGCAAAGAATTGTTAGACACTCAAATGTGTGTGTCACTCAAGAATCACATTATGTTGAGACCCTCATCTTTTAGTTTGCTGAATCACCTGTCAAACAACAAAATCTTTAGAAAAAGCAGTCAAGCCAGGTAATAAAATGGAATGCAATGGTTCCTATTATCGTTTGATGATAACCAACTGATATTGCATAGATTCGATGCTTTAGATTTGTATGTGCTGTCATGCACCGTTTTCCATACGTGTGTTTTTGCTAAACTTCAAGGAAAGAACTCGGCACAGCGTTGAACCATAAACCTCTAACTTGAAATCAACGCGCTTCATACTATGGTGGAACGTTTTATTGGTAATTAATCCTAATAAAGTAGTCAGCTATATTGTTAGTGGCAAACGTCTTGGTGTATTGCGTTCAGTACTTTGAAACATTCAACTGATTTAAAATGTGCTTGACTTCAAATGAGCCGGTGGCATGTTTACCTTTGAAAAACAATAACTGAGTCTGCATTAAAACACACACACACACACACACGAAAGCGCACGCACATGCACGCGAATACACGTACACGCAGGCACGCACAAACACGCACGCATAAACACAGGCGCACGGCCGCACATACACAGATATTGTGCTGCCCGGGTTTTTTTAAAACCACGGCTCATTTGCTTTACTATATAAAAATAGCTTTCATGAGTGAATTAATCTTAAAAAAAAGTTTTTCAAACTGTTCTTTTTTTTTTCAGTTTGTGACGTATCTACTTTTTCAGTAGAAGCTAAACAAGAAAGTACGTAGCAATGACAAACAAACCCTTATTGAGAATTCTATACAATATTAATCACCAAATAATCCGGAGGCTGATTCTTGTAAACGTTTAAACCAACGCGACACGTGGCTGTGTAAAATTTCTTATAATCAGTACAGTCTATTTATCAACGTAACAAAAATACACAAAAATCGCCACAATTCTTTTTTTTTTTATAGTTTTATATAAGCAGCTCGCGGATTAAACTGGAACGGGGACAGCCACTGATCTCTATTGTAGTAGGCTAAATCGCGGATAGGGAGTCCGTCGGTGTCGCCACCGGCGGCCATTGCTTGACACCAGGCAATACACGCAAGACTATGGGAGAAACGCACAAAAGTAAGAATATTGAAGCATGTACGCTGCGCTCGGAGGCGATTATTTTATGGTGTGCTGCGATCCTTATTTCGGGTGTTTGGAGATTGAATCGGTATTTGTCAAACGTTCAAACGCCGATTAGAAAAATCAAACGTACTGGAGCACCTACGGCTGAGCTGGCAAGCTTGGTCTGGTAGTGGAGTAAACAAAGGAACTTGCCGTCAATAAGACCGTCCTCGGGGAAGCCCAGAGGTTGATGAACGACTAAGAAGTTCCATCTCGACAGCGGCTTTCCGGCAGTGAGCGAATTCCGGGCAGCAAAGCCTTCGAGCTTGTCGTCTGCTAAACCCAACTCAACAAAACCTCCACCAACTACGCGGTAACTTTAGGTAACTCTCGCCTCATTGAGCTGCACTGTATCTGTCGCTCAGCGGAGTCACTCTCTCGACTACAAAATATTTATTTATAAGAATTGTGAGGGCTGTCAGTTTTAATGTTTGTACGGAAGCTATTTGACGGGCTTATCGAAAAGCAGCCAAAACGTTTAGTGCCGACAACAGCTTAGAAACGGGGGGAACGGCACTTTTTCTCGTTTTTCCCATAGAGTCCCATGCATTTAGTGGTGTCAATAAACGGCCGCCGGTGGCGACACTCGGCCCCAGCTGCCGAGTGTTGATCCAGCTTACTACAATAGAGATCAGTGGGGACAGCTCTCGTGGAGAAGGAAAGGAAAAGAAGGCTCGCGAAAGAGGAAATACTAACGTGGGAGTCATAGCTAAAGGCCAGACGGCCTTTCGCTATGGGGTGATTCCGGAGATGACACCTGATAGAAGAGAGATTTGTGAAAATGGAGAGGGAAAATACTTCGCCTCTGCCAACTTCGCGGCGACGGATTAGAGCAGCAGCAAATACTTTAAGGCGGCAGGAACCCTCAAAGAAGGAGTCGAATGGCGCATATTCCGTATTGTCCAGTGTTTGGCAGGATCCAATGTTGTGAAGCAGACAGAACTCGCGGTATCCGGGTCGTCCAAGTATTGTCGCCAAGGATACCAGTTCCAGGCGATGGTTATGCAACCCGTAGTGCAATGGGCCGGCGAACACCCTTTTAAGACGATGGAGGTGATGGGAGGGGTGGATTTTTTTGCGGCCGGATAATGGGTCTTGATACCTAAAAAGGAGCAGTCGAGTCTATTTAATGCTTTAGGGACCTTCCGTAGTACGGGGTCGCGTGAGATAGACGCTTTGCAGCAGCTGTGCATGGGTGCCATCATAACCTACCTTCAGTTTTTGTTTGCTCTTAGTTTGATCACTTTTCTCCATCATTACCTCAGCAGGACAGGTGATTGCCATTTTAGATTGAATTGCGTCCTTCTCCCAAGCTGGCCTCTATGGAGGCTCATCAAGGTCCTATCTTGGTAAGACACGCAAGCCTAGGGCGTACGAGTCTCCGAATCAACCATTCGAGAACGTAGGTCGAGTCACGGTTGAGCCATGTCCTCCGGATCGCAACAAACAAGACAAATGTTTGCTGCAAAGGTGTCGCGGAGGCGAGTGCCGCCGCGAGTGTAGGTCTCGTATAATGATAAAAGCTTAACATCTCAATAAGAAGACTAATATTTCCCGATCGTAATAGGCGCCACTGTCTGCAAAAGGGCAAGTGACCTTGCCGCTCAATCTAAACACTGATTTGTACTAGGCACACTTCGAATATTGCTAAATACACAGTGCAGCGTGCGATCTCCAGAGCCAAACACGCGTGTGTTCGTGGCTTCGGATGGCAAGCAAAAGGCGCGCCAAACTCTGAAGATGTACCTGCAAAAACTTTCTATGGTGAATCGTTTACGTGTCTGTTTACCAACAAGAGCGCGTTTGCACACGCCAGTTGTGGGCACTGCACGCGCACAGAAACCACATTCGCGTGAGTTGAAGCGCCTGCGCCATACCGACCGCAGCGCCACCTCAGCGGTGTGACGTCAAAGTCGCGTATGGGCCTATAGCAACAGGTATAAATACTTCCCGCTCCTACCGCTCCTACGGAAATAAAGTATTACAGATATACATCTAAAATGTCCGCGTGTCGGGAGGTTTATGCACGTATGTATACATACAAACGGTGACACTGACCAAATATAGACCTCGCGCTCGGAAAAGGACGCGCGTGCAGGTGATGTCCACCCGAATGTTTTCCTTTCAGTGTTTACCAGGTGAACGAATGTAGTGACGCCAGCGCCGAGGAAGACTGACTGTTTCGGCCTCGGCGGTCTTGCGTAACAACCATTTACGTAAAAGGTTGGCTCGGAACCGACGCTCCTTATCGCAGTTTATGGGGCAGAGACAAATGGCAGCCGCTTTTGCGGATCTGTCGGGAACCTCGTTGTTGACGGTCTAAGCGCTTGTCAGCTTACATGGGGGTCACTCGGATCCGAATCTCTTATGACTTCGAATTAGGAACCCCGTGAACAGGCCGCACCGGACAAAGGAAATGACCGTTCGAAAGGGCCCTCGCCGTGTAGAGAGGGACGCGCAGCGAAAGGCGAGGTACCCGCTTCCGAGAAAGGGCTTCCGGGAATTAAATTCCCGGCTCTCGAAATGTCAAAGCGTGTTTGGGAAGCGGGCGGACTGCACCGACGCAGTTCCTGGGCGTACATGTGGCAAATGACGTACGTAATGCTTCTATTTTACTCAAATCTCGAAGTCGCGGGGGGAAGGCTTCAGCCTCTCTTTAAATCGAAGCTGATGGTCACGCAACAGTTCCGAGGTAGAGGTCGACGTTGAGCGCTCGCTAGTGACAGGCGTAAACAGGACATGGTGCCGCAGATAATTCCAAACTGCTAAATTAAACTGGCTGTAAAAACAAAATCGTGTTTTTTTCTGTTTGGTTATAACTACATTTAGCTTTGACGGGGCACTGACTGCCCCATTGTCGGAGAAAATACATATATTAATTTCTTTTAACATAGGTTTTTCATCCTGTTGCACTAGATGTTTTGTCCTCGCACGTTGAATAACAAGAGGCTGCTTTGATTGGAGTTGCTTCCTTTTACTATCTGTTTCTATAGGAACGCAACTCGAATGCCATGATCATCAAAAATAAGTTTATATTCATATTATGTGCGGCGTTCTTTTGTCTTTATAAATCGAAAACAAACAAAAAAGTCAGGAAAATGATTGACTCCCTTCTCCAACATCCCAAGAATCCTGCTGTTTTATAGGAAGGAACTTTTAGCACCGAGATGTTGCGGTAACGCCCTCTAATGGTTTCCTTTCCCGCCCTCACGACCAGGATTTGCCTCGCCGCGATTGCCAGGATTTGCATCTGCCTCGCCGTGATTGGCAGGATTTCCGTTGTCGTGAACCGGCTATTGGGCGTGCATTATAATAATACAGGAAGCAATTATTTTAGCAAATCGCGAACTTCGATCACAGCGACGCTCTTGGTCGCGCATGTCACTATTAGGTTTTAGAGAAAATGAAAGACGTTTACAATACCCTGTAACACCGAATTAGAGCGCAGCTCTTGAGGAGGAGGAGGGGAAAGTACGGAGAGGAAGGTAATGCCCCTCCTCCTCATCCGCACCCTCCCCTCCTCCTTTCCTGCTCCGCTCCCATTTAGTGGGAAATTTTCGCTACATTTTCCGCTAAATTAGCAGAAAAAATTCCCCGCTAAGTTTAGCAGGGAAGTTTTCTGCTAAATTTAACGGTGAAGTTTTTCCGCTAAATTTAGCGGGGAAATTTTCCGCTAAAATTAGTGGGACAGTTTACCCATAATGCAATACGCGGTGACGTCACATGTGACGTCATGAGGGGAAACGTCCCATAATGCAACGCGCGGTTACGCCGACGCCGACACCGCTCAAGCCGGAAACAGGCGCCTAAGAGCTGCTCTCTAAAACGTATAGTGGCTGACGGCGTCTTCAATGTGGAGACATTTTAGCTGAGGAAAAAGACGTTTAATTTGATAAACAAGGCGTTATTCAAAAAAATAATATATCAGGTTATGGCGCACGATTAGGAACAATATGCGTACTAAATGCGGGCTAGAAGAGAACATATCTAAAAACCACCAGAGCGTATTGTTCGAACAAAAGTGCCCCTGACAATGGCCTAGAGATCACTCCGCTAGCGATATAAAATGCCTGGATACTTTGCCTTTTGACTTTTTATTTTGTTCTTATTTTTCAACGGGCGAATTGAACCTGTTCACCGAATAATTAGAAGGTTGTTGCTTCGTTGATACCAAAGCCGTACGCTTACTTTGAAAAGCAGCTGTTCGGTATTGATCTATTCTGAGGTGAGAACAAATTAGGTGGAAGGGAGAGAAGGAACTGACGTTTTCTCTCGGTAAGGTAACAAATCACGCGATAACAAAACAAAAAATGTGAGCGAATCGCTTGGTTCTTTGTTCGTTCTAATTTTTTTATTTTTATGTCGGTGCCCGGGCCGTGGGTGATTAGGAGCTGTCAGACTCTTTCGCTAAACGCCCCCATCTATCTGCTTCACGACCTTTTCTTCGTGGCGGCATAACGGGGATCCGGACGTGATTTGTTTTCAATGTTACCTTTGGCACGGTGGCTTTACTTTGTATTAGGGAGACGGAAAAAGGAACGGACGTTATATGGATTGCTGGTCTGTTCTTTATTTCAGGTACTGGAAGTCAGATATAGGTTAGGTTTATATATATTCTTTTTCCTGGCGCTGATTGTCAGTTTTTGTGTCCTATTGGAGCACACCGGAAGTGAAAGTGCGAGGAAGAGGGAACATGCATGTTACGCGAAAAGAACGGACACGTCGTCGCCTAGTGGGTACTTTGCTTAGCATCTACGAAAAGTCTGGCTCTAAAAGGTATTTAATCCTTGATTCCGGGAAAAAATGGAGGGGGGCGGTGGTAATGTGCTTAGGGAAAGGTAAAAATAACTTGTTACTCATACGTTAAAAAGAAAGTTGAAACATATTTTCCTGTTTTGCGGTGTTGCACTTTAGTCAGGGTTCCTCTAAGATAAGCTTAGGTTGCTTATTAAAGATAACTTAATTGTTTAATGTAATGCAAAAAATAAACGTATTTATTCATATTTTCATAGTTAATATTTTTTATGCGTTTCATTTACAGTCAAACCCACGTTAGGAGTTGTATTTTTAATCCGACTTTTTCTGGAGGTAAACACTCATTTGGTGCCACCCTACTCCACCCTAAATGTGGGGCTCCGGTTTCATGAACATCCATATTGGATAAGTAGGAATTGGTTTGCATTCCATAATAAATGTGCAAAGTATTTAAGTAACAAAAAGTTAGGGCGCAAACAAGCTGGTGAAAGATTAATATTTTAGAAAAAACCTCGAGACTGGGGGAAATGACAACGCAACAAGAAGTCTCGAAAAGACTTGGTGTTCTGTTGTCCTTCCTTTCCCCTAGTCACGGGGTTTTGTCTAAAACGTATTTAAGTTGTGCCATGGACAGTATCGTAATCAATACAGTGGGCATCTTGAGGCTGATGATGAGGAAGATGTTAAAAATAAAATAAAGATAGAAAATCCAACTGCCTATCCGGTCTCTTTTATTAATTGAAAAAAATTACTGCAAATAACGTTATCATGACTACCTGGAGAGATGGTGCCAAATTGTTTAAAGGTCCTTTGTTGTGGCCTTCGTTAAAATGTGTTCTTTAAACCGATCTTTTTTTTTATTGTGATGTCGAATGAATATATGGACGTCAAATAACAACTGAGGGAAGATACTCCGTACATAATAGTTCGGACCCATTAGGTTGAATGCAAGGTTCCGTTCCGACGAAAAATGGTTCGAATTCCGTATAATAAATAGGCGATGAATGAAGAAGTGTTTCTGAAGAAGGATTTATTATTTCTTCTTTCCTATCTAATCGTTGTTTTCTAAAACTCCGGAGCTAACTAATACCGATGTCGACCTGAAACTTGAGTACACGCCGCAGTCGTGACAATATTACCATTCTTTATTCAGTCATGGTCTCGTTTTTTGTCATCACTTGTCTCGATATTAGGTACCCTAACCCTTTGCACCTTTGCATTAATTCCATTACCCTCAACTCTTCACCGAGTGCTTTCTTTCTGAATAAACCCAGCAAAAATAAGAAGCTAATATTAGTGAATATTCTACTTCTCATTGTGAAGTCGTCAAAGAAAGAAAGCTCTCGGAAGAAACTTAGTCTGCAGCAAATTAACACGCCCAGTCAATGCAGGGCTTTAGTCGAAGCGGAAGCGCGGATCTCTTTTCTTATGATCCGCGTTCTCGTATTGCCAGCCTTCCGCTTGCTGCACGAGTGAACACTTCAGCGCAACCGCACGCTTCACACATGTCTTAAGCTATTCTAAAATTTCATGATTTAGTAGTTTTTGATGTTGCTCATCACGTTTCTAACTAGAACCACATGTTTATTTATGCTAATGAAAAAATTAACTAGTAAGTTTTGGAAAAATATTTCCTTACTAATGTGTGTTTTGCAATCCCCGAGGTACGACGTGTCTGGCAGTATGTTTCCAGAAGAGTTCGTTTATTTCACAAACCCCTTAGTTGTAGAGATTTTTGAAAGTATTCGCAGAAACACCCGACAGAAACAGCGTGCCAGCGATCGTAAGGAAGTGAGAGGATGATTGAAAGGCAAAGTGGATGGCCGGGGCGCAAGGCGCTAGCAGACTACTCTACTCTGGGGTGGAGAGGATGTGGAGGAAACGAATGGCCTATTAAAATGAGATGAGGAAGGAAATATGGACGACCATGAGACTATTCGTACGACATTATCTCACGCTGTAAAGGGCTCATACTAATTTTTTGTTTTGCAAAATGAGATAATCAGTGCGTTGGTTTCTTCAACGGAGCATTGAATTGAGCCCCAACCGCCGAGCACCTTCTCGGTGGCAAATGGTCTGTCATCAGTTCTTCAGGGCGTCAACTAAGTACCCGACTCTCGGTGTCGCGAAAAATGCATGCAGTGAGGAGGTGTTCGATGATTTCCAAAGTGTCGCGTGTTGGAAATTTTTCCAACTGGTCGCCTTCTAGTTTTTATGAAAAAAAAAAAGTTCCCGGTGCAAGCCACACCAAGACGTAATCTGAGGAAGCGGTTGCTAGAGGTGGCAACGTACTCGGCACAGCTCAAACGCAAATGAGTGAACCGGCCCTAATGCGACCATACCCGGCTGCGGTGCACGAAAACCTTACCCTGCTGCTCGGGCTCGTCTCACAAAAGCAAAGCCGGGAAAGACATAAAGGGCGGGTTAATCTCGAACGTTATTCTCGACCGCGTATGGGGGATTCGTCCGGAAGATGTCGTCGGGACGCTTACATGCGCCAAGAAGCCGGGGAGGTTCTTTTCCGCACGCAGCTCCGTGTGTGTGCGCGCTTGTCGCGGTGTGTTGTGTGCGCGGAGCAAGAGTGGAAAGAGGGGTCTAATCGGATTGCGAGGACTCAACGAGGCTCTTGGTGCTTTTGGACGCAGTTCCCCCGAAGGACGCCATTATTCGGGACGAGACGGGGAAGCCACTACACGGAGTTATCGGCCCCTACGACGAAGGGGCTCATCTGGTCCTCATTTGCGACGCTGATGGAGGTGAGCTTTCCTTCTTTTTTTTTTTTTTCGTCTCTGCACTTAAGGTTTTCGGACTTTTACCTTCGCGTTCATTTTTTTTAATCATTTTTATTTTTATTATATGCATGTCTTTCTCGTGTGTGCCGTGTTTACTTTTCGTGGAACCCTGAATGTCTTCTCTTTTATTTTGCTTTATTGTTTTTTTAGGGAGGCATTTAGCTTCGTGCGTAGTTATTGTGGAATTCCTCTACACTAATGTCGGTAGTTAAACGTCTATCCAAAACAATAGTTAAAAAAACGTCTGCAATGTTTGCTTTTTTTTTTATTTTATACTTCTTAAATATGTTAGTGCCACTGCTCATTTGTAAGCAGAGAAGGTAAGGTAAAGGTAAAGACGAAGAAAACAAAAACGCATTCGCGTAAACAAATCGGTTTATTTTGTTGGCACTATATTGTCATTCATTTTTCAAATCGCTCCGCGATCCAGCGGCCGTGGCTAAAACCTTTCGCATTTCAGCCAGTGCGTGCGTGTGCGCGTGTTTGCCGGTGCTTCCCGTTTCAAACGTTATGGTATCTTCAAAACTCAGCTTTCCTTCCGACGACGAGTCAAGTGAAACAGATCTACTACAAGTGAGCGCACATAGATCTGCCAGATGACACGGTTGCACCCCCTCCCTCCCCACACACACACACGCAAAGAAAGAAAAAAGAGAAACATATATATTTAAGTGCGAGGCTCGCATGCATATGTTAAGGCTCTGCACTAATACACCGACATTGAGCGCAGCGCACGCAGCGTAGCGCACGCCTTTCATTGGCCGGCGGGCAGGAACTCGATTGGCGCTCCTTTTAGCAATGCGCATGCGTGGACGCTTTATTATCTCGCGCGTATCTGCGCACGCTCTGCGGCCCCACACCGGGAGGCAAACGTGGGCTTGTTTGTAGACAGTGTCTGTGGGGGTCTATGATAACGAACGCTATATTATTAGGTGAAAGATGTACATTTTTTACTTCGTTTCACTTTACCTCCAACCGCAGCCGGTTGTGTACCGATCTGACGAAGCCAATCGAGGAGAATGAAAAGTGCATCGTCATGGCGCTTGTCGTGTTTGTTCTTTTGCTATCATCAAAAAAAGAATCACCCCGCAGAAGCAAAAAAAAAAAAAAAAATAACAGGATCATGCTTATCTCTCCAGATCTCTTGCAATAAACCTATCTCACCAGTCAGTTTAAAGGGGCCCTGCAATCATATTTAAGCGTCTACCTTTTTTGCTGTTTCCACGTCTCTTGGGGTTCGGGCAAGCCAGCAGGGACGGAGAGAGTAACTAAATATCAGTGCGTCATATTTTAACCGGACGACGCGGAAACCTCCTCCACCGACGAGGGCGACCCGCGGTACTGAAAACGCGCAAAATGTGACGTCTTTGGTCCTGAGATTACTACTGGTCAGAGCCGCTAAAAGCTTCTTTTTAGTCGAAATACACAATATATGTGGCGCGAACCGTTTCAATTATTTATGAAAGTAGTTTTTGTTCAGTATTTTAGATCTAAAAAAGAAACGAATGCAGTTTATAAACAACGGAAATAAGAAATGTCCCGTCGACATACCCGCCACCAAGCGGTGGAAAAGGCGGCGCATACTAGAAAGGAGTAGTGGGATCAGGCGCCGACACGGAAAGGCCCCGGATGTACGCGGCGGCGCTGCGGTCGTATGGGCAGGAGGATCCGACCGGCTCCGAGCGTTCCGAACAACGAGGTAGAGGGGCTTAGAGTGATAAACCGGAAGTTCCGAAGTGGCACCCCCCCCCCCCCCCCCCCCCCCGGTTGCCGCCATGTTTTACGCAAATGTGACCACTCGTCACGTGACCTCACAAGAGCCGTGACGTCGCAGGTAAGATGGCAGCGCCCAGAGCTGGCGTATGCGAGTTCGTTCGGTGCGCGGCAGCCGTGATGTGCAGCGGCTTTCCGACGATTTCGGGCTTTTTCGTGTTTGCTGACGCAGGTATATTGTGAAAATATGAAGGAATGAGACTTTATACCCTTTTTGCGCAAGATCGGATCATCTGGATATTAACACCTGTGAGACAGCATCAGCCGTATCGCCGTACCGGTGCTCGGATTCCGGGATGTGTTCAAGGATCGATAGAACTTTGAGTGCTTTTAGCATGAAATTTTCGCGTTCTCTTAGCTTTGTTTGAACATTGAAATGTCTCTGAATCGACGCGAAAGGTATACGTCGCGTTAGGGCCTAGGAGAAGTTGTTTCAGGCCTGCGTCACCGAATAACCATAGCAACTTTTAGCGAGGAAGCTCCTGCGATCTTTAACCCTTTGTGCTAATCGACGATTCTACATTCGATCGCCTTTCTTCCTTTTTTTGGTGAGTGCGAAGTCCGCACTTATTTTCAGCTACGAGGATGACGTTTTATTGAGTGTGGGGATGAATAAATCGTTGCAGGCACCTGCTTCAAAGCTATTCGACTTGCAATAACAACTGTTTTGGTGTATGCATAGATTAACTGCACCTTTTTCTTTTTCGTAGGATTTATTGCAGCAATACTTTTTTTCATCAAAACTGCATTGTATTTGTCAGTCAATTATTTACTTGGTCTAATTACCTGGATAAGATGATTCATATTTGTGTTCATCCCTTGCCTGAAGAGCAGTCTTGTTGAAAAATGTTGACCATTCCTTTCGGTCTCTTCAATAACCTTTTTTTGAAAGGTGTGGGTTGCCTATACTTCGTATCATTGTTACCTGGAAAAGGACAACCACCACAGCCCCCTCGAGCCAATCAGAGAGACAGAGCGAAGGTGTGTGACAAATCTGTGCAGACGAGCACTCTGAATGACATGTTGTCATGTGCCTCTCTCCAACGTGCATATTGGCTCACCGAGACTGTAGCCTTTGCTGTTTGCCAAATTGTGATGAAACAAATTACAGTAGCTACTACTGTAATTACCCCAGGCTTTCATACTTTGGTCATTTGTTCGACAAGAATGTTACGTCCGCCATCACTGTGAACTCAGCTCAGCGCCTATTGGACTCGAATGCTTCATTAGCATTTGACGTGAACTGGGGCCCATTTTTGTGCTTTGCGCCGAAAAAAAATGGCAACAGTTGTGTTGCTTGATGGGTTTATGCAAAGGGTCTACGTATAGGAAGTGTCCTGCTATATAACAATGCATCAACACATACGAATAAAGTATATGCTCAGAGGTGTGTTCAGGAAAAGTGGAATGAGTGCAGCCCAATTCAACAAGTCTGCCAGTCTGGTATGTCCCATCAATTAATATTGAAGGGTCACAGATGCGAGTGTCCTCAAAAGGACCTGCGCGTGTGGTGAACACTATTCTTGGTGTATAAACTCTCAAGGCATAAAGGCAAGCGGAAATAGGTTTATCTGGTTAGTGTATCAAATGTTTATTTCCACTGCATTACATAATTATTGATTCTTAGTTAATGGTTCTAGAACGAGTTCTTTCTGCGACAGTCTCAATCGTAATACCTGTGGACCTTGTTGTGGGATGACGCTCCTGGCACGTCGGTGTTCAGTTTGGTCGAGTAGCAACTTTAACCGACTGATGCCGTCTTGTAATCATACGTCATGTGCGCCTACTGACATCTGATGCACTGAAGCTGCAGGGCTGGCTTCTAATCCGCAAAATTTTCCTGGTAGTTTTCTGCATCAATTCAGCAAGCTCAGGCATGTTTTGGTTATGTGGCTGTGCCTTTTGCTGTACCGTTGACTTGATAGCTGGCAACAATGTTTGCTATCCAAGCCATTTCACTTCCATTTCATAATGGAGATTTATTGTGCATCCCACGACCACTGCAACTTGTGCAAGTCTTGCGTGGCAAAGTGAAGTCTCGTGACGCTTGCAGTCCATTTTTGAGAGAAACCAACCATTCTATTTCTTAAGGTCACTGAGCGGCATTCTCCCTCAAAGTTGGAAACTGTGTGCTTCATGGCGTGGACACAGATAATTAGTGTCAGCAAATTATTAGGTATTGTCCTTGGACGACAACCGACACCAGATCAACTCTCCTTGCATTGCCGCTCACCTGCCTTGTCGTGCTTACCTCCCGTCCAGATGAAGTAGATCACAAGCTTCGGGGTAACGTCGGCACCAGGGACAAAGACCGCCGAAGATAATCCTCAATCTTCCCCGGACGCTCGTCAAGACGTGGTCGAGGGTCGTTCGGGACGAACCCTTGCAAGCCAATTCATTGGTACGGGCACCTCCAGTAGACAAAGTCGGCCTCATGCAATGGTAGCAGAGTGGTTTTCGGTCGGCCATTCGCAGTACCTCCGTCTTCCTCGGTGTACTTTGTTCAGCGCGGACCTACACTGGTTCTTCTCGATATCGGGAATGCTTCGGCATTGGGGTGTTTCGTTGGATTGGCATTGAATAGTAACAAGTAGCCGGTGGTGGTCATTGTGACTTTGTGGCATAAGTCGCCCTCGTTTTGTCAGATGCCGCTTCGCTCGAAGAAGTCTCTAGTTGAAATGCCTGTCAAACTTCTGAAAAAATCTCGGCGATCAAAATTAAAGCCGGGCAACTGATGGCAGGAACTAGCTTCCTTATCTCCTCCCGGACACCGTTGTGAATGATGTCACGGATGCCTGGGGGGCTGGCGTCGAAGTTGCAGCTGGACGACTTGAGTGTCGCGACGCTGGGGAGTTTTTTAATAGTGACGTACTCGGGCCTGCAGTGTGCATTCAATGTTGAAAGCTGCACTGATATGAACCCTTCGACTGTTGTCGTGGGGTTGCGGAAAAGGCTGCTGAAGGTGTTGTCCCTCACATGAGGAACATGGGATTTTTAGCTTCTTGTCTTCTGTAGCATCAGGGTTGGCGTGGATGCTCGATCAGAAGCAAAACATCCTCCACGAAGGTGGATGCTCTCGTTGGGGCCGTGTCCTGGACCGAATCGGGAATTCGGCTCTCTCTTTTCGATGTTGGCTGATGAACATGCACTTCAGCTCAGGCTTGCAAACTTCCCACGACGTTAAGGAGGAT